TGGGTTCGTCTTCTTGTAAATAGCCAACTGGGGAGCAATCAAACTATTGGATGACCCTTGGGACTTGGGTGTTTTGTTAAGAGAAGGCTAAGGAAGGAGTCTAGGGTAAACACCTGAGTTCAGCTAAACTCACTTCAACTTGCTCTCCCCTATTGCTCCTTTTAGGTGTAACCATTGTAAACAGTAGATAGATAAATAAAGTGGCCCTTGTTTACCCAACTTTCTGCATCTGGTCTCATTATTCCATGGTTGGTCATCAAACTACCTTTGGAGGATGACAGCTAAAAGCATAGTTATGTGCACTTAATAAAGCATTGACACTCCTGGCTACAACAGGAAATTGGAGTAGACAACGGAATAGATCATTTCTACACAACAAAGGTATCTATATCTAAAAGAAACCTGGGTGTGGGGGAAAGCTTGATAAAACTGCATAATGCAGGAGATGCCACGAGACACAAGAGCTCCAACATTAGAGAGTTTACTTATGAAACATTTAGGTTGTAACCTTAATGATGCATGTGGAGTTATCTTTCTTGTTTACCTTGCCTGCATTCATCAAGAAAGGCTGCTTGTCATGGTGTCATAAAGTTCCATTGGAGAGGAAAAAAAGATTGGCACAATTACTCCTGCCTCCATAGTGCAATAACACTTTGTAGCTCTCTCTCAGGAGTCTACACTCTTTCAAGGTAGATTATGCAAAAAACATTTGATCATTTTTTGATTCCATTACACAATTTCTTTGAGTCACAGTTGCGTAAATCAAGCTGTTATCATGCTGGTGGGCTTGTGCATTTTGCATGCATTTTGATTTAAGAGCTGTGCTTCAGGACCAAATGTATTCTGGGAGTGGATGGCAAGGAAGCCACAGGCAACTGAAGGGAGAAACAAGCTGTGCTAGCCAAAGCTTGCTCTGTCTGAATTCGATGGCAAATGGTTTAATGCCAGTATGTAAATGGTCTAAAGGTATATGATATAGTAACTTTGCTGAAGCTCAGCTGGTCTCCTCAATGGCTGAATGGAAAACTGTTTGCAGACTTTATTTGCATGTCCCTGATTTATTTCAGAAATAAATCAAGGGAAAGCATTTCTTTGCTTAGAAATATAAGCCAACTTGACTTACACAAACATAATGGACAAAGCAATGCTATCACATTGAGAAGGGGAAAATATTTTATGACAGTCCAGCTGCCGTGCCCATGCTGGTTTGCTGCGAACTGGCTGCAAACTGGCTGGGAGGTGGAAGGATAGCTTTCTTCTCCCTGCTCTTTGCTTGATCACAGGCCAATTTGGCAGTGTGTGTGTGTGAAGGTGGTACCTCTTAGTCTATGAGGCACTGTTGCCCTATTATTGGCTTCTCCTGAGCTCCTAGAAAGCACAGCACAGTTGCCATTTTGGGCACTCAAACATGATGTCATATTACTGCCATTTGCCTAGTGGGATGATTTTTAATGGGCTTTCTCCTGAAACTTTAGACATTTAAGTTCCCTTTAACTCCATTATAACCAAGAGGTTCTTTGAGGGGGGATTTACTTGCCTCTGAGTTATTTTTGGTGGCACGTTTTTTGGGTGAACATGTCATAATAATAAGAACAATATGGTTCCGGGCCACTTTACCTGTCTGAACCATCTAGGTGTTTAAGATCATCTGGTGAGGCCTTGCTCTCAGTCCAGCCCCCTTCGCAGGTGCGATTGGCGGGAACGAGAGACAAGGGCTTCTCAGCTGTGGCACCTCGGCTATGGAACACCCTCCCTAGGGATATTAGATCGGCCCCCTCCATCCTAACATTTCAAAAGAGAGTCAAAACTTGGCTGTTTGAGCAGGCATTTGCAGACGCCGTGTAACAGACTAATTGAGATCCATGGAACGATTGTATGATGCGACGGAAAAATGATTTTAGTGATGAGACGCTGAGGACTTGTGTTTTATGGTTTTTACGGTAGTCCACGCTCTGGTTACATCCCGTATAGAGTACTGCAATGCTTTCTACATGGGGTTGCCTTTGAAGACTGCACGGAAGCTTCAAATGGTCCAATGGGCAGCAGCCAGGTTGCTAACAGGAGTGGCACTAGAGGAGCATACAACTCCTTTGTTGCGCCAGCTCCACTGGCTGCCAATCTGCTTCTGGGCACAATTCAAAGTGCTGGCTTTAGCCTATAAAGCCCTAAATGGTTTCGGTCCAGCTTAACTATCTGAACGTATCTCTCCTTAAGAACCATCCAGAATGCTAAGATGTTCTGGAGAGGCCCTGCTCTCACTCCCACCTTCCTTTTAAATTGTTATTCTGATGCTTTTATATTAAGCTATTTTGAGTCCCCCTCAGGGGAAATAAAGCAGGGTAATAACAACAACAACAACAACAACAACAACAATTCTGGCAGCCCAAGAAGAAGCCATTAGAACAAATGCCATCAAATCCAGAATTGAAAAGTTGGCGACAGATCCCAAATGTACATTCGGCAAGGAAGCAGATGAAACAATAGATCACATCCTCAGCTGCTGTAAGAAGATCACACAGACTGCAAGCAGAGGCACAACACCGTTGCTCAGATGATTAATTGGAACTTCTGCCACAAGTACCATCTGCCTGCGACAAAGAACTGGTGGGATCACAAGCCGGAAAAAGTTACAGAGAATGAACACATCAAGCTACTCTGGGACTTCTGAATGCAGACAGACAAGAGTTTTGGAGTACAATACTCCTGACCTCATGATGGTGTTAAAAAAACAAAGTATGAACCGTCAATGTTGCAATCCCAGGTGACAGCAGGATTATAGAGAAACAACTGGAAAAGCTGACACGGTATGAGAATTTAAAGATTGAACTGCAAAGACTCTGGCACAAGCCAGTCAAGGTGGTTCCAGTGGTGATCGGCACACTGGGTGCAGTGCCTAAAGACCTTGGCCTGCACTTAAATACAATCAGCACTGACAAAATTACTATCTGCCAGCTGCAAAAGGCCATCTTACTGGGATCTGCACACATTATTCGCCGATACATCACACAGTTGTAGACACTTGGGAAGTGTCTGACGTGTGATCCAATACAACAGCCGGCAGAGTGTTTGCTGTGGACTCACTTTGTTGTGTTTCATAATAATAATAATAATAATAATAATAATAATAATAATAATAATAATAATGTACTAACCAGGCCTGACACTGCTTAACCTCGAAAATTAGATGGAATCTGGTTACTTTGGGATACTTAAACAATATTTAACTCGACATAATACATAGATTTACTAGGAGAACTTTTGCAGCATATGTTGCTACAGTTTTTCAGGCCTAACAACCGGTATCAGTCAAAGACATAGACATGTTCGTCTGGATAAGTCCAGCTTTGTTCCTTAATGGCTATCTTAAAAACTGAACTTGGCACCCTGTCACCATATCCGCAGGTTTTGCAAGTCTCTATTTCTACTCACACATACAGCCTGTTAATCATAGCTTGAAAGGTCTGTCCAAAAGCACTTCATTCCATGCATCCAATAAAGCAGACATGAAGGTTTATGCAACTAACAGCTTTCTCTCTGTCCCAAATGCCCTACAACAGGGGTCCTCAATTTTTTTAAACAGAGGGCCAAGTCACAGTCCCTCAAACTCTTGTAGGGCCAGATTATAATTTGAAAACAAAGACCCCATGTATGAATTCCTATGCACACTGCATGTATCTTATTTATAGTGAAAAAAAACACTTAAAATTATACAATAATTAAAACGAAGAACAATTTCAACAAATATAAACTTATTAGTATTTCAGTGGGAAGTGTGGGTGTGCTTTTGGCTGATGAGATAGGATGTTTGTTGTTGTGGTGTGTTTTCAAGTCATTTCAGACTTCGGTTGACCCTGAGCGAGGGCCGGGTAAATGTCCTTGGAGGGCCGTATCTGGCCCCTGGGCCTTAGTTTAGATTACTGCAATGCTCTCTACATGGGGTTGCCTCTGAAGACTGCCCGGAAGCTGCAGCTAGTCCAACGCTCGGCAGCCAGACTACTAACGGGTGCTGGGTACAGGGAGCACACCACTCCGCTGTTACACCAGCTCCACTGGCTGCCAATTAGCTTCCGAGCACAATTCAAAGTGCTGGTGTTAACCTTTAAAGCCCTAAACGACTCTGGCCCTGTTTACCTCTCCGAATGTATTATCCCCTATGAACCATCAAGATTATTAAGATCGTCTGGAGAGGCCCTGCTCTCGGTCCCACCGGCCTCACAAGCGCGTCTGGTGGGGACGAGGGACAGGGCCTTCTCGGTGGTGGCCCCGCGACTCTGGAACTCTCTCCCACCGGAGATCAGAACCGCCCCTTCTATCCTGACTTTTAGGAAACAGGTGAAGACGTGGTTATGGAGACAGGCTTTTGATGAGTGAGACAACACCCTAAGACATGGATGGAAGATGATGTATAATTGTTTTTAGTATGACGACTGACCACTGTAGTTTTGGATATATTTGTTGTTTCAATGTGTTATTGTAATATGAACTATTACCGATTGTATGTGTTTTCAAAAGAGGTGAGAAGGTCAGTATATAAAACTCTGAAATAAATAAATAAAAATAGTTCGAGGACTCCTGCCCTACAAGATTTCTTTGCCTAACTGGGTAACCGATTTTGGAATAGCTTAAGTCAGGCATCCTCAAACTGCGGCCCTCCAGCTGTTTTGGCCTTTCAGAATTCCTGATGATAGAACAAGCTCGTTAAGGCTGCTGGGAGTTGGAGGCCCAAACAGCTGGAGGGCCACAGTTTGAGTATGCCTGGCTTAAGTAATAAAGAGAAGTAAGTCATTCTGTATGATGTGAAGTGCATAACTACACAATTTCTGTATAGATGCACTGTGGATTAAAAAGACCCACAATGCACGTTTCCAGAAGGATTTTCTCCTAGAAAAGACCTATGATGGGATTGAGTAGAGCCATGCAAACCTGCACCACTTTGAATGCGCCTAAAAGAAAGTATATTGCCATGATCCATATTCCACTCTAAGTTTGAATAAACAAGGCTGTTCTGCATAAGACTCCAGTCAAGCATCCCGTGAACGTTTATTCTTGTCAGATGAGACTAATGAAGTGCAGGAGCTGGTTGCAAAAGATGAGCTGTAAGGGAGGGGACACCTCATTAATTTGAAGGCCAGCCTTTGTTATCCCAGCTGTCAAACTCTGGCGATATTAATGTCCTCTCCTGCCATCCCCGGTGCAGGACGGGAGCCTCTTCCCCCAGCAGGCCTAGCAGGGCTGTTCACTTTGAAGCCGCTTCATTTTCATTTTCTGCCTCCTTGCCGTTCTGAGTTTTTTGGTCTTTAAGAAACTATCTTCTAATTGGTATAAGAAGTCTTCTATTATTCCAACCTGCAAGGAAACATAAAAGGATACGGGGCTGTCAGACAATGCAGCATTCACTTGCTTGCAGGTAGTCAACATCCTTTGTGAAATGGATTACTTTCCTTTCAAAATGGTAAATATGATATTATTCAGGTGCAGGAACCATTCCCCAGAGGCCCATAATATTCCCATTACACAGATGGGAACTGGAGTCGGGGACACTGTTTAATTTCACTGAAAGAGAAGGGAATGAGCACAAACAAAGGAAAAACCATGGATTGTATCTGTTGCTTCTTTGGAAAGTTTTGCTTACCAAATTGCCCTTGAAAACAAAATGGACTGCATCCATTTTTAAGAACGGGATTACCTCATTCAGTGATAGGGAGCTTGTCATTGTGTGCTTTCAAGTTGCGTCCAACTTGTGACAACCTAGCACAGGGTTTTCTTGACAAGATTTGTTCAAAGGGCTTCTTGCTTTTGCTTTCCTCTGGAGCTGAGAGTCCGACTCGTTGATGGTCACCCACTGGGCTTTCATGGTGGAATGTGGATTTGAACCCTACTCTCCAGAGGACTAAGCCAATACTCAAACTGCTGCAATCTCAATCACCCCTAAACTGCACTAGCAGTCAGAGGTGAGGAATGATAGCAACCGAAGTCTTGTAACAATATAGGGTTGCCATATAATCCTAACTACCTATGGACTTATCTTTTTTTGAGGATGGGGATGGTAAGACTGATATAGCACTCCATGTTACTGGAAAGTAAGTCTCAGCAAACTTAGTCATCATAGCAAAGGCTGAGGAATGCTGGGAATTGCAGATCAACAACATCTGGAGGACAACATGATTCCCTGGCTTGCCTTAAAAGTCTATCCTGTCTAGTAAAGAGGTTTGGGATCTCTGGTTGGAATAGATAGCAAGGTCTGAAAGAGAATTTCCCAACTTGGACCCCTCAGCATATATTAGTGTCAAACCCCAGACCCTCCTTCAGCATTAGCTATGCTAGCATGGACTAATGGGAATTGTAGACAAAAACATCGAGGAAACGGCTGAGGGCCATAAAATGTACCATGGCATATCTTCTGGTCCCTGTGTTAAGTTAGCATTGTATAACTTCAAGAAAGATAAGTGTTAGACAAACATATATTCGGGTAAAAAACTTCCTCTATTTTACAATCTTATATTTTTTGAGGACGTTAAAAGGGCTTATGGCAGTGGTTCTCAAACTGTGGATCCCCAGATGTTTTGGCCTTCAACTCTCAGAAATCCTAACAGCTGGTAAACTGGCTGGGATTTCTAGGAGTTGTAGGCCAAAACAACTGAGGACCCACAGGTTGAGAACCACTGGCTTATGGGAAATATGGGTCTTGTGTTGAGAAGTTTGCAGAATTCTGTCAGATACACCAGGTTCTATACAATACATGCAAATAGATTTGAATCAGTTGAGCTGCTCTTTCTTTCTTTCTTTCTTTCTTTCTTTCTTTCTTTCTTTCTTTCTTTCTGGAAACCACCTAATATTCCTGGAAACTACCTTGAGTCCCAGGTCCCATCCCCTCAAAAAGGCAGCATATAAATTAAATAAATAAAATTAATTCTTGAGAGCCCTCAGTTACAAATTCCTAGTTTTATAACATTGCTACATTCCTAAGGTGCCTTTGATTATAAGCCAGGCTTGCTAAATAGCCTGATTTTCTTTTCTGTGGAGTACAGCTGAAGCATTTTCTGCAGAATCCACTGTAAACACTGTACATCGTTGCCGAAACGTTTGTGTAAATAAGTGGAATTCAGAAACCTTTCATTATTATTATTATTATTATTATTATTATTATTATTATTATTATTATATGTAACTCTAACATTTTGTTCAGGGGACCCCCCAGTTTTAAAAAGTAGTGCTCTAGATGTTTGGGACTTTTTCTTTCCCAAACCCAAACAAGCATGATCAATGGTAAAGGTTTCTGCAAGTTAAAGTCTACAAAACCTGGAGTGCCTAAGTTGAGAACCACACCTTTATATCCTGTATTAGATGTAAGTATTCACAGTGACACATGGATCCCTTGCATGGTTTATAATTATGGATGTTTTACAACAATATTTTGATCTGGGTCGTTATGGGTATGTGTATATATATCCTGTTTACAGGGATCGGAAGCTCCAGGTTGCAGCATTTCAATCTGACCCCAGATGGTCATGCACCCTCTTTTTATGATGCTGTTGTCTGATAGAGCCCCAGCTTTGTACACCCCCATTATACATATTTGAAATGCTTTTCTTTAGGGTCATTTCCTGGCAGGAAAAGGTTAAGGTGAACACATGCTGATATATTTGATCTCCTCCTTTAGTCCCATCTCACTGGTAGAACGTGGCCTTCCATGAATCTGACCCTCAGATCAGAGGTGTCAAACTCCCCCCCCCAGATGTTGCAGAATCCAACTCCTAGAAGCCCTAGCCAGTTTGTCCAATGTCCAGGAATTTTGCAAGCTGACTCTCAAAACATCTGGAAGGCCACAAGTTTGTCATCACTGCTCAACAGAAAGGAGGTCTGCAGCATTGGTCTGTGGTGTCCAATAAGAATTTTGTCTGAATAGTTTATAGTAGGGCATATTAAACTTTTCCCACTCACAGCCTTTTTTGCATGAGATTTTTTTCCTTGACTCCAGATATATATCCATATAAAATAGGTATAAAAATTAAACATTGACTGATAATAAACCAGTATTTGCAAGGATTGTTAAAGAGGCTGATTTTCCTTTTTATGAAGTACAGCTGAAGCAATTTATGCAGAGTCCAGTGTAAACACTGTATGTTGTTGCTAACAGATTTGTGTAAATATCTAGATAGCGTTCAAAAACATTTCACTGTTGCCAAATTTTTGTGACCTCAACGCTGAGCCATTTGGGGTTGAGACCCACAGTTTAATAAGTTGTGGTTTGTAATACTGTATTTGTGCAAAATGTTACATTTTGCTCTCCAGTCCACGTTCCACTTTAAACAAAACAAGACAGTCTTGCCTAATTTGACAAATTATGTCGTAAGACTCGGTATATCCGCTTGTTTGTGTGTTCACGCATGCATACAGAAGCTTCACAAGGTATCTGTAATTTTCCTGATGTGGGATAGATCGACAATAGTGCCTTCGTTCTGCTTGTGCACGTTACCGTTGGGAATTTATCAAAACGCTGTCTTTAACTGGCATTGAAAAACAGCCACTTTAAAAGGAGGGCACGATGGGAAAATTAATCTTGAACAAGTTTGCCTGATAAGGAGAGAATACCGACAGAAGAATTGGAGCTTCTGGCATTTTGCAGGCTGAAAGTCAGTGCAGGGAGAAAAATGTGCATTCCACACTGCCGTGGCAAGAGCCATTTTTCTATTAAATCAAAATGAAGTTCTGAATAAATACATTTTCCTGAGAAATATCATTCACCAGAGGGCTCAGTAAAAGAATAAAGGATGCAAAACAATTCGTGCAGGTGCCATCCATCTTCTTCAAGAACAAACCAATAATTATTTTAATAAGTGGCATATTGAAATGCCTGTCTCCCTGCCTCTTCCTCCCCCCCGTATCATGAAGAGCTTTAAAACAATTTTAAAGAGCATCTTACTATATACAGATGAGGGCAGCATCCAGGTGTTCTGTATGAATACCTCACCCCCACCCCCAGCTACATATAGTCATCTTTCATGTTTATTCATATGCATTACCATTTTCAGAAATGCAAAGAGCCCAATAAAGTGAGCACAAGATAGCTGGAAGTTTGCAATTAATTATCCACTAAGCCACCCCACTGCCTCCGTTCGGAGATATACAGGTATGGAAACTCTTTTTTCCCCTGGATTGCAAACAGCTGAATTCCTTTTCTTAAAAGAACGAAAAGCAAAATTAAATCAATGCATCACTTTGTCATTAGTCTGAATGAGCTTCTTCTTTTTCCCTCCGGGGCTGGTGGGACTGGAAGTGTTTTTACGTACTCATGATTGCAACTGAGTGACCAAATATGAATAATTGTGGATATGGTTTGTTTACTGTTACATCAATGTAATGAAGGAGTGCACACATTTTGAGGCAGCATGTGCTAAAATGACATTTGCTCAGAGAGCAGCTTACAACAGGATGATTCTCAGTCTCTCAGAGTCAGATTCAAACTACCATGGCTAGCCATGATATTCATTTTCTCTCTTTTCAAGTTTTCCCATGTACAACATATACGTAGTATCTGAAGATTACCTTCTTCCTGTGGTAGCTCCTAGTCTTTGATGCATTAAGATGGGAATTTATTACTTCAATCAGTGCTCATTTTTTCAAGGTTACCATGTTGTTTTCATATGATTCAATTTATAGAGGAACTAAGAATGAAAGATCTCTGGCCATCTAATGTCCTACTTAAATCCTACAAACTTTGGGCTGTGAATGGTTTCTTTTTTCTTGCTGCCTTCCATTTCACCAAGCATTGTATTGTCAAAGGCTTTCATGGCCGGAATCACTGGGTTGAAGGTTTTTCGGGCTGTATGGCCATATTCTAGAATCATTCTCTCCTGATGTATCGTCTGCAGCTACGGCAGGCATCCTCAGAGGTTGTGAGGTCCTCTGGCCTCACAACCTCTGAGGAAGCCTGCCATAGATGCAGGTGAAACACCAGGAGAGAATGATTCTAGAATATGGCCATAAAGTCCAAAAAAACCTAAAACCCTCACCAAGCATTATTTTCTTTTTCAATAAATTACACAATCTCACAATATGTCCAAAGTACAACAGCCTCAGTTTGGTCATCTTCACTTTTAGGGACAGCCCAAGTCTGATTTTCTATCAGGCCTATTCATTTGTCTTTTAGCAGCCCATAGTATCTATAGAACTCTTCTTCAGCACATTCCAGAGCAATTGTTTTTTTCTTGTCAGATTTCTTTGCTGTCCAGTGAAATTTGAAATATTGGAAATTTGAACTATTACTGTCTGAATGAATGACTGGTATTTAATGACACCTTTAACTATCCCAATGTCTTTGCCATATCATTTAAAGTTATATACAT